TTCAAGACTGAAGTGCAGAAGTTTCATGGCAGACTCCCGGTAGCCAGCTGGAAAATCCCCAACCCAAAGTCCAGAGCACATCTCTGACTCCCAGTCCTGAGGCCTTTCCAGTTCCCAGACCACCTCAGCTGTCAGCTGGATTTGTGTGCCCAACGAGGCATGTGGCTTTTATATAAAAGAGAAGCACATAAGGAGGAAATCATGAGTGTTCAGGATCACCTTCCAATTCCTTAAAGAGGTTGCTTTTGCAGTAGTGACATACTACCCAGTGGGCTCAGCCATGCAGTTTTTCCTGCAAGGTTAGAGTGGATCATTTCCTTCAGTTGATCACCATTTGAAATAGTAGGGGGGCTTGAGTTCAGAGGCCATGTACAAAAATAATTTTTAAAATCCCCAGAGCTTCATTGAGCACATACAAGACTGAGAGTGAGCCAAGAGGGGGCTATCTAGAGAAACATGGACTCCCCTCCCCCATGCTGTTTATTCTAAACGGGTTCATACAAAAATTAGCCAGGCATGGTGGCACATGCCTGTAATCCTAGCTACTCAGGAGGTTGAGGCAGGAGAATTGCTTGAACCTGGGAGGTGGAGGTTGCAGTGAACCAAGATTGTGCCGCTGTACTCTAGCCTGGGTAGCAGAGTGAGACTCAGTCTCAAAAAAAAAAGAAAATAAGAAAAATAAATAAATGGGTTCTAAGTGTGTACATAATGGGGTCACAGAAGTGTTCATGTGTTGCAGTGAGTCTGTGTCGAATATGAGCCTACTGAATATGTTGTTACAATTTCTAGTACACAAATTATTGGGCAAGCCTTGCAACTGCTTTTTTAGAAAATGTTTATATTCTTCCTTAATGATAGAGATAGGGTCTCATTATGTTGCTCAGGCTAGTCTCGAACTCCTGGACTCAAGCAGTCCTCCCACCTCAGCCTCCCAAAGTGCTTGGATTACAGGTGTAAACCATTGCACTTGACCTTTTTTTTTTTGGATTTTTAGTAGAGACATGGTTTTGCCATGTTGGCCAGGCTGGTCTCGAACTCCTGGCCTCAAGTGATTTGCCCACCTCGGCCTCCCAAAGTGCTGAGATTATAGGCATGAGCCACTATGCCCAGCCTGCAACTGCCTTTCTGACCTTCGTTGTTCTGTTTCTTCTCTCCTCCCCCAATTCTGTGATCTGGAGAGAAAAATCGAGATGGTTGCATATTTCAGAGTAATCAAGACTCTATTCCCAAGCATTTTAACATCCATTAGAAGCCCCCTATGTTTGCCACTCTGTGTGGCGGGGCACTTCATGGAGTCAGATAAGATGCTCACTTCCCTCTGGCACTACCTGGTCTGCCTCCAGTTAGGCAGGATGTTGGAGGCCACCAGAAACTTTGACTGCTAGCTCCATCAACTGTGGCTTGGGAGCAGTAATCTAGGTCAGGAAAAATTCCTTCCCTAGGAAACCTGGCCTGGTCCATTTAAATCACAGTATTCTACAGTTCCAACCCATTGGATGGAACTGACTGGAGGAGAACCTTCTTTTGGATTTTTTCCCAGATCTCTAATTAATGGCTTCTTACCTGTAAGCTTAGATTAGCTGCTGTTTATAAGGCCTTCCCAAGGTCTGGCGGGAACCTGCCAGTGACCCGGAACTGTCAGGTTTGTACTGCTTGCCAGGGCTCTGTGAAGATTCCAAAGTGCATCTTTCAAAATACTAAATATTTTTGTTGTATTATATCCATATCTATACCCTGTGCAGAAAAAACAGGAAAGTATAAAGATCTCACCACCCAGGAGTAACTCATTGTTTACACTCTCAGTATACTTCTTTCTTTTTTTGAGACAGAGTTTCACTCTTGTTGCCCAGACTGGAATGCAGTGGCCTCCTGGGTTCAAGCGATTCTCCTGCCTCAGCCTCCTGAGTAGCTGGGATTACAGGTGTGCACCACCACACCCAGCTAATTTTTTTTATATTTTTAGTAGAGACGGGGTTTCACCATGTTGATCAGGCTGGTCTCGAACTTCTGACCTCATGATCTGCCTGCCTCAGCCTCCCAAAGTGCTGCGATTACAGGTATGAGCCACTGTGCCTGGCCTAGTACGCTTCTTCTAGTTTTAATATACATACCACCACCACCCTGCATATACACCTGCACACATTTTTCACAGTTGATTTCCCTAGGCTATTGATAACCCCCTTTCCCCTAGAGCATGAATGTTTTTCCACATCATTTTTAAAACATTCTAAGAACATGGTTTTTATTGTTTTCATGGCTACATTTAGGGATCTGCCATGATGTTCCTAACTGGTCTCCATTTAGGCTGATTCCAGTTTCCTTGATTAATATCTTTGTGAGTATATTTTAATTTAAATTCTGTATTCTTTATTTAAATGAATACCTAGACATGAAGTTATCAGATCAAAGAATATAGAGATATATAAGAGGGTCTCACTCACTGCTGCTGGTCTGTACACCACATCTTCCCGCCGCTCTACTGCCCGGTTCCTCCGCTGATCACAATGAAAGAAGACATTGCCATGCTTGTCATTGATAATGGCTCCAGCATACGCAAAGCTGGTTTTGCTGGGGATGACGCCCCTCGAACCGTGTTTCCCTTCACCATCAAGTGCCCCCAACACCAGGGCATGATGGTGGGCATGGACTAGAAAGACTTCTACATGGACAACAAGGCCCAGAGCAAGCGCGGCATCCTGACACTGAGTACCCCATCGAGCACAGCGTTGTCACCAACTGGGAAGACATGGAGAAGATCTGGCACCACACCTTCTACAACGAGCTCCATGTATTCCTGGAGGAGCACCCAGTGCTGCTGACTGAGGGCTCCCTGAACCCCAAGGCCAACAGTGAGAAGATGACTCAGATCGTATCTGAGACCTTCAACACCCTGGACATATGTGTGGCAGCCCAGGCTATACTGTCCTTCTGTGCCTCTGGGCGCACCACTGGCATTGTCATGGACTCTGAAGATGGGGGTCACCCACACAGTGCCCATCTACGAGAGCTGTGCTCGCCCCATGCCATTCTGTGTCTGGACCTGGCTGGCCAGGACCTAACTGACTGCCTCATGAAGATTCTCACAGAGTACGGCTACAGCTTCACTACCGCAGCCGAGCGGGAGGTTATGTGTGACATCAAGGAGAAGCAGTGCCACTTCACCCTGGACTTTGAGCAGGAGATGGCCACCGTCACGTCATCCTCCTCCCTGAAGAAAAGCTGCAAGCTTCCTGACAGCCAGGTGATCGCCATCGGCTATGTGAGGCTTCGGTGTCTGGAGGCATTGTTCCTGCCCTCCTTTCTGGGCATGGAATCAGCCAGGCATCCCTGACAGGATGCAGAAGGAAATCACTGTCCTGGTGCCCAGCACAAGGAAGATCAAGATCATTGCCCCTACCGAGCACAAGTACTCAGTGTGGATTGGCAGCTCCATCCTGGCCTCACTGTCCACCTTTTAGCAGATGTAGATTAGCAAGCAGGAGTATGACAAGTTGGGCCCCTCCATGTCCACTGCAAATGCTTCTAAATGGACTACAAGCAGATGTGTAGCATTTGCTGCATAGGTTAATTCAGATGTATAAATTTGCCCCTGACAAATGTGTATACCTCATGCTAGCCTCACCGAACTGGAATAAGCCTTTGGAAAAAAATTTGTCCTTGAAGCTTGTGTCTGATATCAGCACTACATTATAGAACTTGTTACTGATTTTGACCTTGTATTCAAGTTAACTGTTATCTTGGTATTTGTTTAATAGTTTGTACATATCTTTGATTTCAACCCTTAGTACATGTGATTTAGTCACTTCATGGCTGAGGTGAGCACATGCTTGTGGAAGACAAGTCCAAGGCTTGGTGGGTCTGTGTGGCCAGCAGTCTCCCACTGGTGCAGGGTATTAATGTGTCAGGGCTGAGTGTTCTGGGATTTCTCTAATGGCTGGCAAGAGCTCCTGAACCAGTTGTCGTGTCTGTCTTGCCTATAGGACCCAGTTTCCTTTCTTAGCTGATGTTTTCCTGCCAGAACACTGTGGGCTGTTACTTGCCTTGAGTTGGAAGCGGTTTGCCTTTACACCTGTAAATTTATTCATCCTTTTCATTTATGTAAGGTTTTTTGGTATGCAATTCTTCAGTCTTTAAGAGATTACAACAAATTTTGGTTTTCTACTGTTATGTGAGAACATTAGGCCCCAGCAGTGCATCATTGTTTAAGAAAAAATAAAAGTGCTGCGATAAAAAAAAAAAAAAAAAAAGACATACAGTATAAGACTTTTGAAGGATTATGTGTTTTTTTGTGTATATCTATATATGTTACAGAGATAATACAGAATTACTCTCCAGAAAGCATGCAGTCATTTTTGTGCTTTCTAGCTCATGCATTCTCCATGAAGGCAGAAATTGGTTATTGGGGTCGGGGGCAGTCCTGGAGATTACAATAGTTTGTGGCCCTCCTGCAGGCACAGTGTATACACAGATACACAGTACATCTATAGCACTAAAATTGTATACAGGGGCTATTGACAGAAAGGTTAAGAAGCACTGTTCTAGCTGTATATGACTCCATACATCTGCCTTTGAAGCTTTTAAATCTTAGCTTTGGGATTTTGGTTTTTGGGTTTAAAAATAATATTTTTCTGATGTAAAACTTCTTGGTTCATTATATAAAGTTAAGAAAATGGAGAAAGATGTGAATAAAATTTATCTGGAGGTTACCAATAAAAGGTTACCAATTAATATTAACATTTAATATTTTAATCCATGGCTTTTATTGTTTTTTTTGTTTTAATCCATGTTTTTAGGTTTGTGTTTCACTCTTCTCACGTAATCGCCATTGTAAGATTATCAATGTTCATCTGAGCCAAGGACCACCCTGAAATATCCCTTGTGTTATGGTCTCATGGAAGGGTTTCCCCTGTCCCCCATGCCTGGGAGTGTTTGTGATCTCACATGCATCCAGGTGCCTGACTGCTCTGGGACTTGAAATAATTGTCTCTTGTTTATTTCAGGTGTGATCCCCTGGGCCCATTTGCTGTCGGGGGAGAAGACTTAGACCCTTTTGGGTGAGTACTGCTGGGGAGGTGGCAGCAACACAACTTGCTCTTGTGGCTTTTCAGCCCCAGCTCATCTTCTAATTTTAGAGTTTTCGGTCAGTCTCTTTCTTCGGGGAGGAGGAGGCAGTTGTTGCTGAGTGGCTGAGAAAGCACTGCCACATACGCTGCTCCTCCACACCTAGTGCAATGCAGGAGAGCGCTGAGTGTTGGCAGGGAGCTGAGCAAGCCCAGAAGGCAGCTCTTCTGCCATTTCCGGCCCCCTTGCCCACCCTAGTTTATCAGATGTATAGTGAGGAGCACATGGTGGGCCTTAGGGCAGCTCAGGGCTATTCAGAGGTTACCCCACTTAATAAAGGGAGTCCCTGAGCCCCATTAGACTCTGGATGGTTCTTATCATGCATCCAGCAAAGTTACTACAGCCTCAACTATCCACTCTCTTCTCTAAATGATTCAGACTAGATTTTAAGCTCTGCTGCAAAGTGACCCCAACTTCAGCATCTCATTTTTAGACAGTGGGGAGATCACTTAGGTCTGCAGTGCAGCTTAAGCTGTGACTTCAAAATTTGGGGAACCATCAGCTCATTCATCCTAGTTTGAGCACATGAGGTAAGGTCCATGGAGCTCTATGAGGGACAGATACTTTCAGGAGCCAGACCTAGGCAACCCACAGGCAGGAGAAATTGCCCTGAGGCCCTTAAAGAAAAGAGAGCAAAAAAAACCAACATCACGAATTATCTGAATGGTATTATTAGTCCTTAAACCTAAAGCTTCACCCTGCAGAACCTTGTGAGGGCACTGTAGTTGACCTTGGCAAGTTCTGGCTCTCGGTCTTGATCAAGTTGTCCCTCTTGGATATGGCAGGGATCTCAATTTTGAGGAGCCCTACAGAACCAAAAGCACTGTGCAGAAGAACCAAAAGCACTGTGCAGAAGAACCAACCCCTGCAGAGCCGAAAGTACTCACTCAGCTATGAGGTCTGCTCTTCGTGTAGGCTTTGTGTTCTTGCCCTTGCCCACTTCCTGCTGGCTCTCAGGCAGCCATCCACCTGTCTGCTTGGGCCATCCAGAGTAGATATCCCTGCCATTCTTGGTCCATTCTCACCTCCCTTGCCTTTTCTCCAAGGACAGTCCTTCCATACCTACTTACCCAACTTTTCTTCTTGCCTCAGGCGTCGGAGAGGTGGCATGATTGTGGATCCCCTGAGATCTGGCTTCCCAAGAGCGCTTATTGACCCATCGTCAGGCCTCCCGAACCGGCTTCCTCCAGGCGCTGTGCCCCCAGGAGCTCGCTTTGACCCCTTTGGACCCATTGGGACCAGCCCATCTGGGTAGGTAGTCACTCAGGTATGCTGAGAAGTAGGACTTGATGGCAGCTTGGCTCAGTGTGGCAGCAACAAAGGTTTCTAGCCCCAGGCACAGAGTTACTGCTGCCTCCACCTGTTGCTTCCAGGAGAGTGGAGCCTCCTCCAGGGCTCTGCCTGCTGCCTCCCTGGAGCCTTCTAGGAGCTCCCTGTCCCTCAGTGCCTCTCTTCCCCCAGCTCCCCTCTGGGGAGGACTCAAAGTAGGAGGAGGAACTAACAATTCTTGGAAGTTTGTATGTCAGAAACCCAGTGGATCCTTTCTTTAGTAGTCTTGGGTAGATGGTGCTGTCTACATTTTATAGATGCAGAAAATGAGACCCTGAAGGATTAGGTAACTTATACCAAGTGAGGGAGTCAGGATTCAAACCCAGGCTGTCTGGCTCTTGAGTGCATGTTTTTAAATTCCTCACACCACAACATTGTTTTGAAGGGCAACCTCCCTCAGTGCAGGGTCATGTCTGCACCCTGGTCTCTCCATCACTCCAACTCATCAGCCCCTCTTTCCATTCCAGACCTAACCCAGACCATCTCCCCCCGCCGGGCTTCGATGACATGTACCTGTGAAGGCCTCAAGAATGTAACATCCCAGGCTTCCCTCCACTCTCCTGGAGCTGCCACTGCTGTCCCCATCAGCAACTGTGTTTTTGTGGGCTGAGGGCAAGGGATTCTGCCCATGTGTTTGCAAGCCAGCTGGGATAGCCTCCCCACCCCTTATCAGAGCCAAGGCACCTGCTGCACCTCTCCACCTGGCTGCAGATAGGTCCCAAAGAGAAATCAGTGTGTGTCTTTCACCACCAGCTCCTCCCCTTTGACCACCAGCTCCTCCCCACTTCCCAAGGGAGACTCCGGCAACCTCCAGCGACATATATCCTTGACCAGATGCAGTCCCAGTTGCAGCGCTATAAGAACAGAACGCATTTTGGATGTTATTATTAAGAACCAAATGTCAATACAGAATTCATGTTGCCGGTTTCCCACTTTTCTTTTTACATTAACGCATAGCTCCTTCCATTTATAAGACTTTAGAGTCTGAGTTTCTATGGGGCTGAATGACCCCTTTTCCTACCCTTTGCCTATTCTTTCTTAATTCAGGCGCCTTCCTTTCATTAATTGCCATTGCTCCTGACATCACTAAGATGGGTCCCCATCTGGCTGCATGGATGGAAATGAGTGACTGGAAATCCCATAGGCCACAAGAATGACTTTCACAAGGGCAGGAACATTGTGGAAAGACTGAATCATTCTGATGAGGCAAAATCCTCCAGCTATTCCTGTCTGGGCCAGTTTTGTAGGTCCATCTGTGCATGGGCAGCAGTAGTCAAAAAGCTGAGGAATAAACAGGACAGACCTGAAGGCTAATATTATTTTTGCCACTAACTTAATGAATGACCCTAAGCGAGTCCCTTCTCCTCTTGGGCCTTGTGCCAAGCCTATGAAATTAGAGGTGGCTTTCCTTCTCTAAAGCATTTTGATGTCTCATTCTGTGTTTGGTAACCGTAGAAACTGGGGCAGAGGCAAAGAATGACAGTTCAAGGAGGTACTTGCCTTGAACCTTGTATAGTTCTTGCCTAACTCTGGTTTTTTTTTTTTTTTTTTGAGACGGAGTTTCACTCTTATTACCCAGGCTGGAGTGCAATGGCGCGATCTCGGCTCACCGCAATCTCCGCCTTCCGGGTTCAGGCAATTCTCCTGCCTCAGCCTCCTGAGTAGCTGGGATTACAGGCACGCGTCACCATGCCCAGCTGATTTTTTTGTATTTTTAGTAGAGACGGGGTTTCACCATGTTGACCAGGATGGTCTCGATCTCTTGACCTCGTGATCCACCCGCCTCGGCCTCCCAAAGTGCTGGGATTACAGGCTTGAGCTAACTCTGGTTTTTGGACCCTGTGGGGCCCAGACAGAGCTGCCTTGAACCTTGTATAGTTCTTGCCTAACTCTGTGTTTTTTGGACCCCACGGGGGCCAGACAGAGCACAGGAGCATGGGCTACATCTGAGTGTGGTGTTGAACTTCGGGAGGAGCAGGGAGCCCTGTGCCTTGTGACCCGGCCCACCTGACCTTTGGTGTTCTCCGGATCCTTTTCAGCCCGAGGCCCGACAGACGAGGGCAGTGATGAGCCCTGTTCTGGAATGGAAAGAGCACGATAGAGCACCAGGCTAAGAGGCACAAGATCAAGGTGGTAGTCACTTCTGCTCTGCAGCTAGCATTTCAGCCATATGTGGGTCCTTTCACTTCTCAGCTCCTTGGATTCCTTTCCCTAAATTAGGACCTATTACTTGTCTGTAGGTAAGCAGGCTACTGTACCTTTTCTGAGGTATCTGCTAGGCTGTTTTCTGTAGCCTAAGATTGCCTTTCTGTTTAGCATGAGAACAGATAGACGAAAACTAAACTGATGCCTAGGCCCAGGGTCAGTCTCAGGTGGAAACTGGGCCTGGGTGGGAGGCTAGCATGAGCAGCTCCCTGGGTATTTCTGTCAGTCCTCATGGCAAGCAGTGATTTAGTAAAAGATCCCAGAGACAGGGAAGCCAACCACCTTGAAACCTTTAGAACATCTGTGCTTTGGAGAGAGACCCAGAGATCAAGCGGAGGTGCAGGTTAAATCATTACTTATAACCTTCTTTGAGGGCTGACAAATGGGAGGGATGTTAGTTTTTGTTTTGGAATTGGACTATACTTGCAATCAAAAGGACTTAGAGCAGTTTGCTCATAAAAATATCATTTATTATAAAAAGAAGTATTTAAAGGAACATCAGACTAGAGACCATCAGACAGAAGCAGGGAAGGTAGATAACTTTTAGATCCTTGATGTGAGGAAAAGATAAAATTTAAACAATAAATTTGCCACTTAGACTTTTTAGTAGCAAAGGTCAAAAAGATAGTCATATACAAAATTCTGTTTTCTGAAAACAGAAAATTGTGATTCACCTGCAGAATCAGCCATTTTTTTGTGTGAGTTTCCTTGCATCAAGGACACTGAGAAACGCAGTCATTGTCTTAGGTGTTCTATGGGAGGAAGTGAATGGAGCCTTTAGGGACTTCCTGGTCAAGCTGATGGTGCTTAGTTTGGCCTGAGCCACTTCCCTCCTTCCAGTCATGAGTAATCATCAAGCAGCAAAGTGGAATGTTCAGGTGTATATTTTGTAGAACCCAAAAGATTGGAGCCTTAACAATAAACATCAGTACTAAGTGACCTGTTCCTCCTTTTTTTTTAATAACAGCTGTATTGAGATAAAATTCACATACCCATAAGGTTCACCCTTTTAAAGTATACAATTCAGAGGGTTTAGTATGTTCACAGTGTTGTACATCCATCACCATTTCTAATTCCTGAACATTTTCACCACCTCAAAAACAAACCACAAACTCATTAGCATGACTCCCATTCCCTTGCCCTCAGCCCCAGGCAACCACTAACATCTATCTCTAAAGACTTTTTTTTTTCTGGACAGTTCTTATAAATGGAATCACTCAACATGTGGCCTTTTGTGTCTGGCTTCTTTAATTTCATGTGATGTTTTCAAGATTCATTCATGCTATGGCATGTGTCCATGGCATGGATGTGTCACGTTTCCCTTATCCTTCTGTCAGTTGATGGACAGTTGGGTTGCTTCTACAAAAAGGCAATTATGAATAATGCTGCTAAGAAGATTTGTGTACCAGTTTTTGAGTTTTCAGTTGTTGGAGTTTCAGATGTTTTCAGTTCATTTGGGTATACACCAAGGAGTGGAATTGGTGGTTCACATGGTAGCTCTATATTCTATTTTGTGAGAAATTGCCAGGCTGTTTTCCATAGCAGCTGTACCGTTTTACATTTCCACTGGTAATTTATGAGGGTTCCAGTGTCTCTACATCCTCACCAACACTTGTTATTCTTCATGCTTATGGTCATCCTAGTTAGTGTGAAGTGGTACCTCATCATGCTTTTCTCTTCCATTTTTTAAAAAAGGAGAATTTTGACCTACAAGGCAGAGACCAGAGTCAGCCCCCCTTGGGGAGCAGTCTATGGCTTTGATAATCGCCACCGTGGGATGAAGATGGTTGGTGAGCTGCAGAGGAGTTGGTTTGACTTTTGGTTCTAGGCGGGATGTGATACAGGGCAGGTTCTGTCTCTAGGGAAGTTCCCGTGACCTTTTCAGATCTAATGAGATTCACATCATCACTTTGGTTTGGTTTGAAATTTCTTTGTTTATCCAGTGAATTACAAGTAGAATAATGAACTGGTTCTAAATCGTCTTTTGGTGCTGAAGTACCATAGACCAACTCAGACCACTTCTCTGATGTACCAGCAGCCCCCACATCACACCTTCACCTTGGCTTGTCTCTTCCCCAATTCTTTGAGTTAGCTATGTTTTTTACTGCATCCATCTACTCAGTCATGAGCATCTGTCAACCTCCATTGTGAAGTCATGAGTCTCTTGAGACCAAAACTCCAAGAATGTATTGTGCTCACAGTGGACAGGCTGTTCCTTTGCCAGGTGGTCAGTAGTTGTTTATATGTAGTTAGAAAATAGATAGCAAGTTCCGCGCAGCCTCATTCTTTGGAACTCAGCCTCTCCTGTGGCCCTTCTACTGTTGCTAATAACATTTTATTAATGATCTATGCCTCTCTTCACAGGAGGAAAATTAGAATCTATGGAGCAGCTCATATTCTTTTTCACCTAAATTTGTCTACTTCTGTACATTTCCAATAAGACACCATGGTGAGGGAAGATTCCCCACATGTATATCCCCAGCTGTCTCTATCATAAAACTTATATCCGTGTAAACCCACCATTGACATTTTGCACCAAAAAAGATATTCAAAGGCAGACATCCAAGTCCCCAGCTCTTTATTGCCTTTGGGATACCACAAGGCACACCCTGAGTCACTGCAGCCATGCTTGGCCCTGAATCTCTCCTGGAGGGTGGGTCAAATGGCAAGGATGGCAGGCAGGATGGTGGGCAGTGAGGAGTGGCAAGGCCTAGCTGACTGAGGACACACCTAGCAACAATGACAGGAGGTTTGAACACCACATGAGTGGCAGTGCCCGTGGGAGGTGCAAAATGGAAGCCCAGCCCCTGCTTAGAGGAACATGAGGCGATGGTGCAGTGCAGTAGAGGACACTGGATGGTCATTTGAACAGCTGCGTTCCAGATGAGCCACCTAAGGTGAGTGTTGTGAGAGTCACAGTGGGTTCAGAGGGACAAGGTAGTGAGAGGGTGCTGCTGACGCATGTGTCCTGGGATTCAGCTGCAGTAAACAGAAATTTGCCTTTTGTAACCAAAAGGTCCAGAGAGCAGCAGGATCACATCACCATTGCTACACTCTTGGGATTAGGCACTCCAGAGCCACACAGCAGCTGCCTATGTCTGCATCAAAAAGTGGATGTCCTTTACACTGCCATCTGGACACCACTTAGCTAGTTCATCCAAGTTCAAGGCTCAATTGAATGCATCTGGTTGTTGGAACCTACATGGCCTTTCAAATGATACTGGCATGGGATCTTGGGAAAATATCTTTATTCCCTCTTTCCACCTTTCCAGGCAGGTGCACTGGGTCAGAGGTCTGGTAAGCCAATCTTCTGTGTTGTCTGCGTCATGGACCATGATATAAATGGGTACCACAGCCTTGCATGCCTGAGCCTAACCATCTCCTGAGATGCTTGCTCTAAGTACACATTAGTACATGCTGGGCCCCAATCCAGGTCTCAAGGGAAGAGTCTTCAAGTCCATTTTTTACAAGTTCCTCTTGTGATTCATATGATTCTGCAAGTTTGAGAACTGAGAAGGGAGGGGAAGACCTACATCCTCCTTACTCAGACCACCAGCAGCAGCAGCAGTATCACCTGAGAACTTGTTACAAATGCAGAATCTCAAGCCCCAGCCCAGACATTGAATGAGAATCTGCATTTTAACAGGTTTTCCATGAGATTTGTGTACGCTTGATGTGTGGGTAGCTCACATATACTATGTCTTTTGTCCTTTACATGATTATCAAGTACCAAGAATTGAGCCAGTCCTCTTGGTTAACAGCACATTATGATTAATGCATGCAAGAACTCTGATTTGGCATTTTCCTTGATTTTACCCCCAGTATCCACTCCATTCCTTTGCCCCCATGGGTCACTGAAATGTGTTTCATGTATCTTTAAAAACGCAGCACCTTTATAGCATACATTATATCTTCAAATCATAACCATAATGACGTATTATCCCCATTTCCTAGATCAGAAAAGGAAAGATTGGAAAGATCCAGTAATTTGCTGAAGGTCAAGCAGGAGTCTCAGATTCAGTCAAGCATGGGTGACTCACAGCCCTTCCTTGGTCATTGTGTGGCCTTCCTCATCTGCAAAATGAGCATCACCCCTACCTGCAGGATTCTTGCAAGATCCAACCAAATGTGTCTTATTAACAGATAGTTGGGACTCGATGGCTGCTTGCTGCAATTGTCACCGAAGTCATATGGATAGATAAGGGTGGGACTTAAGGACAAGAGGAGAGGAACCTTGGAATGTCCCCCAGTGCAGGAAACAAGCATTTATCTGGTGCACACACAGTGTGCTAGGCTTCTCATCATCACATGTAGTACCCCTGAAAACCCCAAGGTAAACACAGCTAGTGGCATTAGTTGAGATGCTTAACCCCTAGGGGTGGCAGAATCATGACTGGAACCCAGGTCATTGTTCTTTTCAGTAGAACTGTACCCCGACCTCACACCCTCTCTAGGCAAGGTGCATGGGTCCCTGGGCAAAACCCATTCCAGAAGCTGGGAAACCACGTCAGAACTTGTGTGAGAAAGAAGTGATAGTCTTAAGGCTCCTCAGTCAGTCCTGTTTGCACAGTGTGCCTCATGCTTCTGAGTACTTCCACCTGCAGCCCCAGTGCCCAGAGCACCTGATTAGGAGGAGCATATGAAACCACCTGCACAACCTCCATTCCACAGAGGAAGAAACAGGTCCAAGAAGTCCTTATGTGAGGGGGAGCTGCTAAGAGGCTTCCCTAGGCCACAGCAATGGGCTCGGGCTCTGTGCAGGGTTCTGTCACCTGGCTCCATGTGCTACTCACCTCAGCCTTCTGAGTTTAGTAGGATCTGTCTTCCCCATTGATGAAAAAAGCAGGTCCACAGCTTTTTTTCCAAGGCCACACAGACCACAAATCCTGGCTTCAAGTCCAAGGCATTTCCAGTAAACAGTGCCCAAATCAGTCATGGAGGTCCTTTAGTGACAAAAATATGAAGGAACCCTTCTTTCCCCCTCCCAGTTCTGCAGCTAGGCTGTGTTAAGAGGAAGGTGCCATACAGGTTCAGCACCCTGGTCAGCGCCTAGCCTCCCTAAGGCCGCTGGAGGAGGCCTTTGGGGCCAGGTCAGGTCAGTGTCTGCTGCTCCCTGATCCAGGATGGCCCATTCTGAGAGGAGGGGGCCTGGACCTAGGTGTCTTGCCACCCAATACAGAGCCCTGCCCTTTCCCTCTCCTCCAGAAGGAAGCATGGGAGCAGTCCCATCCTCTAGGTTTCTTGGTTCCCAGGACAGAAATTGAAGTGAGAAGCCTGTGAAGAGTGGGTTGGGCCAGGGACCCTGAGCCATGGTAACCTTGAACAAGTTTGGCTTTCCCCATCTGCAAAATGGAGATAAGGATGAACTCACCTTCCCAAGATCCTGCCCATCTATGAGAGTCCATGACTGAGTGGCCCATGGGTTGGACTGAGTTCAGTGCTACCCCAACCATCCCTTCTGTTCTTCCCCACAGAGCTTCCCAATTCACATGTAAACCACAGCCATCAACGTGACAGCTGACAGCCCAGGTTTGCCTATAAATGTGCTCTGACTGGCCTGCATGTTATTAAATTTGATACAATGCATGATGGCAGTTATTAAATTTGAGTCTTCACTCTGTTTACCAGTAGTGTGACCTTTGGCAAGTCACTTAACCTGCCTGTGAAAGCATCCTCATATGTAAAATAGAGGTAGTGATAGGACCCCTCTGTAGGGTTGTTGTGAGCTTCAAATGATCTAGCAGATGTAAAGACATAGATGAGGGCTTGGCACAGAGAGAACACTATTGTTTAAAAATTGGGTGACTTAATGTGTGTAATAAGTGACCAGTTCATTGCAGTGTACAAACATGAAGTGTTTGCTTTTTATCCAACTGACCTCTATCAAATGTTCCTCTGTTATCTCAACATCTTGGGCCCAGTCAATAATAATTAGGCAC